CATTTTTTTGTCTTTCGTACTACAAAAATGTCTCACAAAATTTAATGGAGGAAGATGTTTTCCTGTCTTGTGTATGAACCCTGCTTAGTTCATCTCATGGAATTTTGAGAATTATTTGGACAATCTATATTGTTGACCACCACACATCCATGTGAAAAATGTCATTTTGTTGATATTTTCAGGAAATAGAGCAAATAATTTATTAATTATTGATCACTTGAAAATGTTAGAAGAGCATATATACGTGATTGAAAGGAGTTTGTCTGTTTAGACTCAGAGCTGGGAGAATTTTATAGGACTTTGAAATGAAAAGGAAATTAAAATCCAGAAAAGTACAATGGTTTGCCCAAAATATCAAGGTTGACCCAGACACTTATACTTCAGCGTTTGGTGCTCTTTCCATATGTACATATTTGAACAGTATAGGTTTTACTCTTTTATATTTATGACACCTATTTCTACATTTCCACAAATAGCATTTTCACTGCTATTAATATGTTTGTGAACCCTTACAACAGTTATTTCCTGTCAGATTTACTAATATTCTTTGGTGATATTCAGATTGTATAAAAACTTATAAAATAAATCTTGTGATTTTATCAACATAGTAAGCTGGGTGCAGTTGGCTTATGCCTATAATCCCAGCACTTTGGGATGCCAAGGGGAGTGGATTGCTTGAGCCAGGAGTTCAGGACCAGCCTGGAAAAAATAGCAAAACCTTGTCTACAAAAAAATTTTAAAAATTAACCAGGCATGGTGGTGTATACCTGTTATCCCAGCTACTCAGGATGCTGAGGTGAAAAGATCACCGGAGTCCAGGAGGTCAAGGCTGCCTTGAGCTGTGATCATTGTGATCATGCCACTGCACTCCAGCCTGGGCAGCTGAGTGAGACCCCGACTCAAAACAACAACAAGAAAACAAAGTGACTTGAGTAGGTACAGAGTACTTTTCTGATCATGGCCGTTGATCATAGCATGAGCACATTGCATGGGTTAATAAAACGTGTGGGAGTCCTTGAAACCCTAAATTTACTTACTGTGTCTTAATTTCATACTCTGTGAAATAGGTATTATAATAGTTATTATTCCATTGTTTATTTTTTTGATGATGTTGAACCTAAAGCAAGGTGATCTATGTAATGCCTTTAATTAAGTGCCAGTATACAGCTATTGCTCTGTAAACATTAGTAATTATAATATTTAATTTATCTCTTCTCTTTTTAATTGGGTACATATTTTAGGTTGGAAGCATAAGAGTTTAGGTAAGGAAAAACTTATAAATATGTGACTGATCTGTCCTGTAAGAAACGGTAATGAACTTCATTGATATGTAGAAAATAGTAAATTGACAGAAGTTAAATACTTCTTACATCTTGGAGGACAGCACATAAGTTTCACTTACATTTTCACTACCAAAGAAAATAGATAATACAGAGGAAAGCACATTGCAATTTATCTTGTGTTAAACAAGTACCAGTTGTTCAATTTTACAATTTAGTTCCACAACGTTTATTGGAATTATGTCTCTCATGCTATTGTCACTAAGAACTTACCATTATAATCTAGCAGGATAAATACATAGTAAAAATTAATAATGGTACTATATGTTAATAGTAAGGATGTTAGTAAATATATAATATATTATACTATGTATATAAAGTTTAATAGAAACAGAGGGAAGAGAGCAATAATTTAGAAGAGAACATTTGTGATTTAATACAATAGACATTGTACTGTTAAATAAAGCAGTTTTCACTATTGAAAACTGTCTTAATCCATTTTCTGTTGCTATAAGAAAATACCCTAGACTGGGTAATTTATAAAGGAAAAAAAGCTTATTTAGCTTATAATTCTGGAGACTGGACAGTCCAAGATGGGCGGCTGCATCTGGTGAGAGCCTTGTGCCACTTTCTGGCATGGTGGAAAGACTTGAGGACAAGAGCACTCATGTGGGGATAAAAGAGTAAAACTTGCCCTTGAGGGAACGAATTTATTCCTGTGATAACTAACCCGTGAGTTTAACTCAGTCTCACAAGAAAGACTTTATCTTAAAGATCTAATCACCTCTTCAGAGGTGCCAGCTCCCGTCATGGCCACGCTGGGGAATAAGCTTCAATATGAGTTTTGGTGGGGAACAGATCACGTTCAAACCGTAGTCAATACTCTTTAGTTCTTTGCAATGAAAGCATAAGTTCCATGATCTGTTTTCTCCAGTAGATTCACATCTACTGAATTATTCAAGGGTGCTGATCTTTCTTTCTCTTTTTCTTACTTTACATTTTTGGATGATTACGACTATGACTTTAAAAATCTTCTCTATGAATTATTGAAACAGCAAGATATTTCAACTGTGCAACTATTCAAATATCTTTCAAAAGTAGAAGAAAACTCACATGGTACTCTAACTATAATACTGCAAACTAAAAACTACAAAAATGAAAGGGCTAAGTTTAAAAACCACAGTGCTTCATAATCAATTCTGTATCTTTGACAAAATAGTAAGAACTGTCAATTATGGCTCCATGCCAGTCTTTTAAGTGGAATGTTCTAATATTCCTAATATTTTCTAATAATATGATTTATCCTGCTTTATTATGGCATGATAATTGTAAATCATTTCTGTCTCTAAAATAGGTTGCATTTCAAGATTTTATTTGATGTGACTTGTTTGAATTTTCGCGTAGTTTTTGCCACTGAAATGTGTCAGCTTCTGAAGCCATGAAAATATTTTCAATTAAAGCAAGTATTCTAACGTGAGCAACATAGTGAGACCTCATCTCTATCCCCTTCCCCCTTCTCACCGCCCCCCCAAATTAGCTGGGCTTGGTGGCGTGTGCCTGTAGTCCCAGCTACTTGGGAAGCTGAGGTGGGAGGGTTGCTTAAGCCCGGGAGTTTGGGACTGCTGTGAGCTGGGTTTGTACCACTGCACGCCACCTGGGTGATAGAGTGAGAAACAAATAAATATAGTAATACTAGTTTAAGCTGGATCATTTGGATAGGTAGTACAGCGCCAGGTCAGGAAATGGGGGAAAAAATTTATGTAAAGTTTATGAATGAACTTGGTGGGAAGGAAACCTGTGGTGGAAGTTGGGCCTGTTTACTGTGTGTCTGACATTTGCTCAGCTCTCTTTCTGTATTCTTCTCCATGTGCTGTCAGTGGCCTCATAATTCCATGAATCTTCTTAGTGAAAACCTACCAGGGTTGGGGGTTGCCATGCAGGGTTGGGGGTTGCCATGACCCCTTGCAGATGTCTGTGTTCTAAATATATACTCTTTTCTCTTCAATCTGGTCACATCTTTATTTTTTCAGTAGAACTGAGAGTTCAGCCAAGTTGGAGAATTGCTGATTTTCTAAATCATACCAGTGTGTCACCCAGTAACCCTCTTGGAGGATTACTTACGTCAGAAAAAGAAGATGCACGTTTGTCCAGGTGGCTTTCTATTTCACTGAATTACTGAGAAACGCTGTGCAATAAAAATAAAGAGAACATGTCTTAGCATTGGACTGACCTGGACACAACTTAGCTCTTCAGCTTGGAAGTATATCAGTTGGAACTGTTTATTTTACTTGGGAGTGTCAGTTTTTTCCTATCAAATAACTCATAATACAGAAAAATGAAAGGGATAGAGATTTAAAAATACTGAAAATATTGCTAGTGTTTTATGGTAGGGATCCTGTAGGTGGTTAAAGGTTAGAGAATTGAAATAAACTGGGACAGTGTAGGAAAGGTTTTGATATGGTCGCTAACCCAAAGGTTGAGTCCCCAAGTTGTTCCAAGTCAAAGAGCTGGGTTGTGTCCGTGTCAGTTCAATGCCAAGTCCTGTTCTCTTTATTTTTATTGTACAGCTTTGCTCACTAATTCAGTGAAGTAGAAAGGCACCTGGATAAACATGCATCTTCTTTCTCAGATGTAGATATTCCTTCAGAAGGGTTCTTATGTGAAACCCTGGTATGACCAGGAGAGCAAGGGCTCCTTCTTGTACCTTGTTCTTGGCGTTCCTTGCTTTTACCTTTGTCCCATGCTCTGTTACTACTTTATGAGACCCCTGATTGGAAACTGTGGTTAAAACTCAAAGTTCTAATCTCTTATTCCACTCGGTAATCTTTTTATGGCACCTGTGCACAGTGGTTGTCTATACTCCACCTAATGTGCCAAACATAAATTCATACAGCACTTGAAGCTTTTTTGTGAATGTTATTTTACTTTAGACTCGTACAGGTAGGAAAAGTAATGTAATAGATTTATAGATGTTTCATCTCCGTTGTAGCTGACAAAACTGATCTTGGAGAAATGTTGCCCTTTTTGGGGCTTTGAATTTGTTGGATTGGATTTGAGCGGTGCTGGCTTCCTTTAATGTCCATCTGCAGAATCCTTTCAGTGATGTCATCCTTAAATAAGATGTCTATGAAAATTGATATTAGTTATTGTGCCATGAGAATCTTACTGTTATCAGTATCTTAGTTGTTTTTACTAAGAACTAGTTATTACTTAGTTATAGTTAGTTGTTTAGCTAGTTATTACTTAGTTATAAGTGTCTTAGTCTGTTAAGACAAAGGTCTTTTTGAGATAGTACCACTGATGTAGTTAATATGTCTGTGTTAGATAAGGCCAGTGGATAGCAAAACTTTTGTTCCATTGCACAAATTAAAGTTGTTCCTTGATTAGTTGTTGTATTTGTAAAACTTTTCACTATTTAGAAAGCATTTGTCCTTGAATTTACTCAAAAAGAGCCATTTAGCGTCGATTTTACAGAAGATGTTTTGCTAGAGTAATTTTAAAGTGCCTTTTAAAGATGAGTTCAAATAAAGCTTTATAAAAGACAAGCATAGTAAATTTCTTACACATAGTAAAGAGCCAAAAATTATTTACTAAGTGCCTGGATTATTTACTAAGTCTCTTGACGATGGATGTGAATTGTGTTACTTGAAAATGACTTGTTAAAATAATTCATCTTGTAAGTTAGAGTTTAATATTCTTCCTTTTTTTAATTTTAAGGTTTCAGCAGAGCAGCTTTGCCATTTGGGTTAGTCAGGCGAGAATTATCCTGTGAAGGTTACTCTATAGACCTGCGATGTCCCGGCAGTGATGTCATCATGATTGAGAGCGCGAACTACGGTCGAACAGATGACAAGATTTGCGATGCTGACCCATTTCAGATGGAGAATACAGACTGCTACCTCCCAGATGCCTTCAAAATTATGACTCAGAGGTAAATGCTTATGAACTAGTGTCCCATTTTTGCTGCCATATCCAAATCAGTAAAATCATTGTAATTCCGAAGTGGAGGGAACATCCCATAGATCAGCTTATTTATTAAATGGAATCAGGTTTTCACTACTAATGTTGATTTCTGCTGTGTTTCAACCACATTCAAATCTGGATGTCATTTTAATATAGTTTGGAATATATCAGAAGACATGTAATACATATCTTTGTTTTATATATCATAAAATAAAAAGTGAAAACACTATTTTAAATACAATCTTTTAGGGCTTCAAAAATTTGAAATATTTTCTGTGACAACAAGAATGTTTACATGTCTGGGTCTTTGCAATAACTCCTTAACTGTTTAAAAAAATTAATAAACTTAATTTTTTAAGAGCATTTTAGGTTCATTGCAAAGTTGACCAGAAAGTACAGAGTTCCCATCACACCCCTATCTCTATCCACATACATACACACAACCTGTATCACCACCTGTATCTCACATTACAGTGGTATATTTGTTGTACCTATATTGACACATCACTGTCACCTGAAGTTCGTAGCTTACATTAGGATATACACTCTTGGTGTTGCCCTTTTCTGTGGATTTTGTTATAACAATGCGTACCCACCATTGTAGTATCATATGGAAGGCAGTCATGTGCCCCATAATGACCTTTTGGTCAGTGGTGGACCGTGTATACCACAATGGCTCCTTAAGATCATAATGGAGCTGAAAAATTCCTTTCATCAAGTGATGTCTTAGCATTACCTTTCCTATGTTAGATATGTTTAGATACACACATATTCACCATTGTGGTTATGGTTGCCTACAGCATCAGTGCAGCAACAGTTTAGGTGCAATGTGCTGTATGCTATATTGCCTAGGTGTGAGGCAGGCTGCACCATCTAGGTTTGTTATTTTCTTATTCTTTAGTTTTAAGAGTTTTTGGTATGTTTTAGATAACAGTCGTTCATCAGATAAGTCTTTTGCAAGTATTTCTCCCAGGTTTTGGCTCATCTTCTCATTCTTTTGATTCTTAACTTAAAAAAAAAACAAAACAAAACCACAAATTCAAGTTAAGAAAGCCTGAAACTAAGTAGAGAGTCCCATGTATCCTTTAAGAAACTATAGATAGAATCCTTTTAACAGATTAAACTACTTTCTGACTTTTTCCTAGCAGACTTAGCTTTACTCGGTCTTGGTGTCATCTTAATGTTCAGAAGTAGTAGAGAGGGCTATCGAGTAACAATTGTGTTAAGGCAGGATGGAAAGCATGTTTCTAGATAATCAGTGGGAATTTCTGCCATCTTCAAATAGTATACAGGTAGTTAAGGTAACCTTTTTTTTTTTTTTTTTGAGTTGGAGTCTTACTTTGTCGTCCAGACTGGAGTGCAGTGGCACACTCTCTGCCACCCCAGCATTGACCTGCTGGGCTCCAGCGATACTTATGCCTCAACCTGCCAAGTAGCCAAAACTACAGGCGTGCACTGCCACTCCCGGCTAATTATTTATTTATATTGTAGAGATGAGGTCTCTCCAAGTTGCCCTGGCTGGTCTTGAACCCGTGGGCTCAGGCAGTCCATTCGCCTTGGCCTCCCAAAGTGCTGGGATTACAGGCTGAGCCAAGGATAACCATATTCTAATAAGATTCTGTCCTTTATAATTCAAACCATTCTTTCTCTTGTATTACCTCGTATGTCGCTCAAGATGATTTTAAGATAAGGAAGAGGCCAATTGTTTTTCTCTTTATAATTTAAGTATAATTTCTTGTCCCAGTAAGGAGAGTTCAAGTTCAGGACAATATAAAATTTGACATCATTGTTTGAATGTCAAAGGCACTGTAATTTGCATTAAAGTTATAGGTGGTTGCAAATTGGTCTTCAGCTACTTTGAAAAGATTACAATTGAGTAAGTTCGGAATGGATATAATGGATGTATATATGTTCAAGTGTGCATGTATGTTCAAGTGTGGTGGAATACCTGAATTTCCTGGGTTGAAATATAAACTCTGATAACTTCTACTTTATTGAATTTGAGCAATTTTTCTTGTTTCCTTGAGCCCCAATTCATGCACCTCAGAAAGTAGGTAAACACCACTGGCTAAGTTTGTGTTTTAAAAATATGTTAGTAGGTTACAAAACTATCTAAGTCATACCTCTTACTGGACAATTGCCTTCCTACATATAGATATAATACAAAAAACTGCTGAGGACAGGTATCATTTTTCCTGTATTAGAGCGCCTACTGTTTCTTTTCTTTCCTTTTCTTTTCTTTTCTTTTTTGAGTGAGAGTCTCACTGTTGCCCAAGCTGGAGTACAGTGGCATGATCGTGACGATCACAGCTCACAGCAGCCGTGACCTCCTGAGCTCAGGTGATCTTTACACTTCAGCATTCCAAATAACTGGGACTGCAGGTGTGTACCACTGCCCTGAGCTCTTTTCTTCTTCTTTTTCTTTTTCTTTTTTTTTTTTTGTAGGGACAAGGTCTTACTGTATTACCTAGGCTGGTCTCAAACTCCTGGGTTCAGGCAACCCACCTGCCTCGGCCTCCCAAAGGGCTGGCATTACAGGTATGAACCACCACACCTGGCCTATTTTTAAAAATTGTGGTGCTCCTGGCATCTTATGTAGAATTTTTCTATAGATAAGATACTAAAACGTTGGTTAGTTATAATTGAGCTAGTAAAATAAGATCCCCGCTTTTCTTGTGTTTTTTTTTTTTTTTAAATTCAGGAATCCTCATTATTTGGAACAAAGAGATACTTTTAGGGGACACCTAACTTTTACAGAATTTATTATACATTAAGGCCTTTATATTTTGTTTGCCAGTAATAACCCTTTATCTTTTCATTCAGAGCCTTCTACCTCTTCCCTAATTCTTTTCCCTCTCTGGCGAATATTCTGATTAGCTTTCTAATTTATTTAATAATCTGTCTTAAAGTAGAATACCCAATTTCCTGGATAGAACTGGTTAATACAGATACAATGAGACACCAAGAAATGATAAGAAGCAGTGGAGGAAAAGATGGGAAAACTGGGTTTTGAAAGTGCATGCCATAAGAGTATGTGTCACAGAGGGCCAGGCGCGGTGGTTCATGCCTGTAATCCCAGCACTTTGAGAAGCCAAAGTGGTAGGACAGTTTGAGCTCAGGAGTTTGAGACCAACCTAGGCAGCATAGTGAGACCTTGTCTCTATAAAAAGTTTTAAAAACTAGCCGGGCGTGGTGGTGTGTGCCTCGTACGCAGAAGGCTCAGGTGGAAGGATCACCTGAGCACAGGAAATCAAGTATGCAGTAAGCTGTGATCATGCCACTGCTTTCCAACCTAGCCAAGATTGTGAGTCTGACACACACACACACACACACACACACACACACGCCCAAAAGTAAAAAATATGGGTCACAGAGAATATGTATTAGCTTTTTTTTTTTTTTCAGTCAACAGCACATTATGGGAAATAGGTTTTTTAAATGCTGATGTTTTTAAGAAACCAGAGAAGCCAGACACAGTGACTCACACCTGTAATCCCAGCACTTTGAGAGGCAGAGGCGAGAGGATTGCCTGAGCTCAAGGGTTCGAGACCAGCCTGAGCAGCATGGCGAGACTTCATCTCTACAATAAATCATAAAATTAATCGGGCATGGTGGTGCACGCCTGTAGTTCCAGCTACTCTGAAGACTGAGTAAGAAGGATAGCCTGAACCTGGCAGGTATAGGCGGCAGTGGCGGTGAGTATGCCACTGCACTCCAACCTGGGCGATAGAATAAGAAAGATTTCTATCAAGCTTTTTAAATAGTTAGTTCTGAGGGTGGTTATTAAAATATTGAGACAATCTCATTTGCATAAGTGGCACTTGGTAAAGGCATTCTTATTTAAAACTTAAGTTTCTTAGGGACTATATAAAAAAGACTGGAAGTCTGGCCTGTGAAACAGTTCACACTGTGGACATGACCTGTGTAGCAAGTCTGGCCTGTGTCCCAAACTTATTTTGTTTGGGAAAAATGGATTCTGTGTTCCAGGAAAATTGTCATGAAGCATTTTGCATGTGGTACTTAAATTGGGGAGCTGCCTGTGCTAGGGAGGCCATGAGGCAAATGCTGGGGGTCAACCTTTGTCTGTTCCTCACACACTGACCCACCTATTCAGTGGTGAGAAGAGGAGCCGGGCACCAGAAGTAGGCCTGAGAGAAATAGGAAGTGGACGATTCTTGTGTACTGTACTCCTTTTACTAGCCTGACAAGCAAAAAAGCATTGGGAGTTCATAGAAAGAGACGGTCGGAAACAGGTAGCCTTACGGAATTGCATGTTGAAGGTAGCCTATTTTTGTTTGCTGGGTTATAAGTACACAGGTAATATCTAGTCTTGTCATTCTTGTATATAAATATTACATATTATACAGAACGTCCAAGATAAAGTAACCAGTTCTTTTCATTGTTTCATAAAAGCAAATTTTCATTTTTGGTCATGCTGGTTGAGTAGCCTTTATCTGGAATGCTTGCGAACAGATTTTGGATTTTTCTGATTTGGGGATATTCGCGTTATACATCCATGCATGCAAAAGGTTAAGCATCGTAATGTGAAATTTCAAAGTACTCCAGTGAGCGTTTCCTTTGAGCCTGACCCTTGAGCATTCTGTCATCACTCGGACATTTTCAGATTTTGGAGCATTTAGGATTTCAGATTTTTGGATTAGGGAAGCTCAGCCTATACTTTAAAAAGGGCCTAGAGTTTGGAGGTCCTTCAGTTCTGTGAAAGCATACAGTTGTCTAAATCCCCAAACAGAGTATGGTGTATTGACACAAGGAAGGGGGCAATTCCAGTAGACACCCTGTTGTTACATGGTTGATGTTTGCTGGTGGCTTACAGTTATTGAATCAGCATGATGACAGTTTAAACATGAACACTTTGTTGAAAAGGAAGACAACGTTAAGACGACTTCTGTGTGAGTTTCACAGTGGCAGCTCTGAGTGCTCTCTTCGGTGTGTGTGTCAGAATGTGAG